ATTCGTGTACTTTACACATCATTCCTACAATTACGCTTTACAGTACCACTTTACACCACTACCAAACTTACTACTAACTACTAAACATAGTCTATTGATTAGGGGAGTAAATGGGCTATGCCGGCCCACAGGGGCCTACGAACTAGCTTATAATTTATATTAGGTCAGGCTTGACCTATTAGAAATAGTCAAATAGAACAGATCAAAGCTTTTAAAAAAACTATTTAGAAAGCAGCCATAAGCTTTTTTGTACATGTTAGGTCTACAAGCCTACAGACGGCCTATATTATATTATTTATTTTAAATAAAAAATAAAATCATTATTTTAATAATTTTGAATAATAAAGTAATATTATTTTAGTTATTTTTTTAATTATTGAATGTTTAATAGGCTTAAACAGTTTAACAGTCTTAGACCATTGCTTTTATTTTTTAAATATAGGTCAGACCAAACTTGTAATTTGGGTCTACACAAGGCTAATAGGTCAGATTAGGCGTAAAGTCTTTTACACCGTCCTAGCCTATTTAAGGTAAAACCTAGCCCAACCTAGTCTATTTACATCGCTGCTACTACCTAGGTTGGGCCGTAGAGGTGGCAAAGTGAGTTGGCTCGCCCCGACCCCCCAAAACTGGGACGGGGCGGGTTTATCCCATCTCTTGAATGTAGGTTAAAAATATTAACCTGCCCCATTTTATGGTGGGTCAAACCGTTTAAAAAAAATAATTAAAATTTAAAAATAAATTACATTTTATGAATATTATAATATTATTTGATTTCAGTTTACACCCCCTTAGTTTTTTTTCTAATCTTAAGCCTAAGAGTGTGATAATATTCACACAAACATTCTATATGAACTCATTTTTGCCTCCATATATGAATAACTTTTGTGATAAATACAATTTTTCTTCTTTATATTTTTTATGAGAGTACTAAGATAAAAAAATTTAGATATCACAAAAGCTTAATAACAAATAAAATACTACTTAACCAAAAATAAAAAACTGACCTGGCGGGCCAACCCGTCCCATGGCGGGTTGAACCCGTTTTAACCACCCTTATGCGAGGCGAGTTAAAAATCTCAACCCAACCCGTCATTTTTGACGGGTTTAACAGACCAATCCGACGAGTTGGACCCGTTTTCCACCTGTAGGCCTTTGCTCGTGTCGTTCTCGTTGACCTCTTAAGCATAACATAATGATAGTGTAACAAAATATTCACCTTGGAAAAAAAATTATACACCTATATATGATAGGGCATCGATATCAAAGTTTCCAATCTCCAATTATACATAGTTATAGCGTAGGCATTTTGTTTGTTTGTTTTTTTTTTTTTTTAATAAAATGGCCGGAATAATACAAATCTAAATAGTAGGATATACATATATGAATAAACAGAGGTTGCTCTTTGAATTTTTTAGAAGAGTTTCTATGTTACAAGAAATCCTTCAGCACAGGCTATGTTTTAGTCAAATACCAATCCTTGTGCCATATGATTGAATTTGTTTGATTTGGTTCTTCATTTTGAAGTGTTGCAATGCTGTTTTCTTGTTTGATTGATTTGTAATGTATTGACACCTTCCTTGTTTGGCTTATTACAGTATTTCTTTTGTGCTGGCAGATTTACAAAGTACAAAAACATTTACCTAATTTTGAGAGGGTGAAGTAATTCTTGTTCTGTCCCGTCTCTTGAATGTGGGTTAAAAATATCAACCCATCTCGTTTTATGGCTGGTCAAACAGTTTAAAAAATAAAAAATAATTAAAATTTAAAAATAAATTACATTTTATGAATCTTATAATATTAATTGATTTCAGTCTACACTCCCCTTAATTTTTTTTTCTAATCTCAAGCCTAAAAGTGTGATAATATTCACACAAACATTCTTTAAGAACTCATTTTTGCCTCCATATATGAATAACTTTTGTGATAAATAAAGTTTTTCTTCTTTATATTTTCTATGGAAGTACTAAGTTAAAAAAATTTAGATATCACAAAAGCTTAATGACAAATAAAATACTACTTAACCAAAAATTAAAAAACTAACCTGGCAGGCCAACCCGCCCCATGGCGGGTTGTACCTATTTTAACCACACTTATGCGGAACGGTTTTGTTCTTCCTGAGGCAGATATGTCCGACCGATGGTCGGGTATTTGATGTTGAATCTAGGGCTTTCTCTCTAGATACCTATAATCTAGGTATCTTGGGGACAACTGATCACTACACACTATATGATGGCTTTAGCCAGAAGGGGTATGTGTGTGCACTGTCGTGTCTTAATGAAATAGGGTTAGAGAGATCAGTCATACCTGTGGTCCTTAGTCCCTATTTATAGAGATTATCTCTGGGCTGATTCGGGTTGGGCTTCTCGCTATCGTGGGCCTTCCTCTGGTCCATAACAGTTGCTCCCCAGCCCGGTAGATTGAGTCTTCAGGTTGCCGGGATGCCCAAGTCGAGCTGATTGTTATGCTTTTACTCGGACATCGGTCACATGGCTGCTTTATTACTTCGGCCTCCCTACTTGGCCTCGAGAGGGGAAGCTTTCCCTGGTTTCATCCGGGTTTACTTGCTGGGTGCTGGTGATCCGTAGGTCATTCATGACCCGCGTTATAGCACGTTCTGGGTTCGGGTTCACGGCTCGACCTATACGAGCTTCCAGCTCTCGCATTTTTCTAGCACCTGCCTCCCTTTCAAGCCCATGCCTTCGCTCCATTTCCTCCATCCTCCGAAGTACCGCCGCAACAGCCATATCTGTTACTCGAGAGTCACCAACTGCCCCAATTGGTCCCTGCTCATCCTCTACCCTTTGTTCCTCCATTGGTTGCAGACCTTGTACATACGGGGCGTCCTGATCTATGGCCGAGGTCGATGCCGAATCGGAGTGCACATCGCTAACGTGCACTGCATCTGGATCTATCTGCCGATGATCCAAAGGATTCTCCCTAATTGGAGAGATGGACTGGATCCTGGAATTCGATCTTGATGGTTGTCGCAATCCGCTTCTTGTGTTTCTCGCCATTACGGCTTTCGATCATGTAGTAGTGGAAAAAAGTTCCCACAGACGGCGCCAATGTTCTTCCTGAGGCAGATATGTCCGACCGATGGTCGGGTATTTGATGTTGGATCTAGGACTTTCTCTCTAGATACCTATGAACTAGGTATCTTGGGGACAACTGATCACTACACACTATATGATGGCTTTAGCCAGAAGGGGTGTGTGTGTGCACTGTCGTGTCTTAATGAAATAGGGTTAGAGAGATCAGTCATACCTGTGGTCCTTAGTCCCTATTTATAGAGATTACCTCTGGGCTGATTCGGGTTGGGCTTTTCGCTATCGTGGGCCTTCCTCTGGTCCGTAACAGGTTTGAAAATCTCAACCAAACCCGTCATTTTTGATGGGTTAAAGAGACCAATCCGATGGGTTAGACCCGTTTTTTCACCTGTAGGCCTTTGCTCGTGCCGTTCTCGTTGATCTCTTAAGCATAACATAATGATAGTGTAAAAAAATATTCCCCTTGGAAAAAAAATTATACACCTATATATGATAGGGCATCGATATCAAAGTTTACAATCTCCAATCAATTATACATAGCTATAGCATAGGTTTTTTTTTGTTTTTTTTTTATTTTTTTTTATTTTATAAAATGGCCGGAATAATACAAATCTAAATAGTAGGATATACATATAGAAATAAACAGAGGCTGCTCTTTGAATTTTTTAGAAGAGTTTCTATGTTACAAGAAATCTTTCAGCACAGGCTGTGTTTTAGTCAAATACCAATCCTTGTACCATATGATTGAATTTGTTTGATTTGGTTCTTCATTTTGAAGTGTTGCAATGCTGTTTTCTTGTTTGATTGATTTGTTTTGTATTGACACCTTCCTTGTTTGGCTTATTACAGTATTTCTTTTGTGCTGGCAGATTTACAAAGTACAAAATCATTGTACCTAATTTTGAGAGGGTGAAGTAATTCTTGTTCGAACAGTTTGTATGATCAGCAAATAAAGAAGTGATAGTGCTTACCCCAATTATTGGACTCACCAAGAGTCTCACATGGAGTGATTGTGCTTACCCCACGAAATTTTAGTAAACCAGATGTAATACATTCCAGGAGAATGAAAAGAATAAGGACCCGTTTGGATGAGTTTTTTTTTTCCTTCTATAAAAGCTGTTTTTTTTTCTTAAAAAAAAAAGCACTTCACATTTTTAATTTGTTTGGATATCTGCTTTTAAAAAAAATAAAAAGTTATCAAAAAAGTCAAAAATCTATTTTTTTCAGAAGCTAAAAATTTTAACTTCTAGAAAAAGTAAAAATCAAAAGTCAAATATCTTTTTTCAAAAACTAAATATTTTTATAAAAATATAAATAACTTTAACTTTTGTAAAAACACTTCTAAAATAAGGAAGAAATAAAAGTTACTTTTTTGATAACGCCCGACAAACGACCTCTAAATGACTTTGTGGCAGAACTTTGGAGGCTTAGTCTGAGATTACTTAGTTAAGATAAAGATTCAAATCTTTAGTATCTGATGAATTGGATGCTTTGTTTGTTACCCAAATGCTCTCTGCTCAAACTAATATTAATCACATTCAAGTGTACATGTTCATCTTTAAATGCAGGGAGATTATATATCACAACAATGGGACGATGCAAGTCCTCCTATGTGTTTAACAGTTTAAGGAACCTAATGGAGTTGTGGATCATTGGTCGTTTGCACCCACGCAAAATCGTAAGCATGTGTTTTTAGTCATTGATATGGGAGAGAATAATTAAATTAGAGGCACAAAATAAGGTTTGAGATTTTTTGTAGCTATAAGGTCACGGTACACAAACACTTGAGCACATTGCACCATTGATTCATGGATCTCCTTTGGTGGTAAAAGACCTGAGTTTAACTTTCCACTCCCCATATTCTTAGCTGAAAAATTCAACTATTATGTACTCATAGCAAGATGGAAAAAAACGTAATGTACCATTGATAATGGTTCAAACTTCAAATAAAGGATTCAAGTTCAAAATGAACCATCAATAACAGCCACCAAAAAGCTATCATAGTAACTATAAGATAAACTTCAAGTTGTCATACAGCAAACATAACAAAGGATAAAGCAAGGAAAACTCAAAACAGACTCAACAAGGAAAACCAACTGGGATAATACCATCAGACACCAATATAAATTGATGTTCTGAACTCAAAATCACAAATGCCATCAGAGAAGAATTTTAATCTTCTTTGCCCAACAGAGTGAGAAGGAACTTCTTGTAGTCCCCTGAGGTTTCCTTGGCAATAGCATGCTCAAGAAGAACACTGTTTCTCTTGTAATAAACATCAGCGATGACCTTCAGGTCCCTCTCAGCCCTACTCACAATCACACGGGTGAGTGCATCCTCATCAGTTCCAAGCTTTTTGATTCCATCACGCAGCACCTATAAAATAGGAAATTCTTATTAGGAGCAGACAATAAGGTGAAATTTATGAAAAAGATTGGACTAGTCTCTTAGTGCAACCCAAATTTCAATGGTTAGTGAGATTGTTGTATAGTACTAGAAGAAAAAAATGAGAGTTCAACCTTTTCATAGTACTTAATATGGTCATTGAAGCAACGAATGGCTGTGTACAATGCCTTCTGAAAGTCATCAGATCCTTCATCCAACAGTTTCTGAAGGCATAAAAGGGATCAAAATATCAAATTATAAATAAAACATCTGAACTTTTTTTTTCATCTTTTTATTTGTTTTGAATGGCATTACTTTAGTGACATGGGAAAAGGAAATTAAAGGTATCTCTTCATTTTATACCTTAGTAATGGAAGTACCATGGATCTCTCTGTAGCGATTGAAAGTTGCAATAAGTTGAGTCTTGCTCCTTGTAGTCAAGATCCTGATGGACTCTTCAATGCTGCCTTTCTTCTCTTTCACAGCCTCATGAAGAATTTCAGCTTCAGTTTGTGCCAATTTTGCATTGATCTCATCACCAACATACCTGAATGAGGTCACTAGCCCCACCAAAAGCTGCTCAAAATCAACCACATTGACTCAGATCACAAGTACCATAAAATTCCATATTCTTCTTGTAATTCAGAAACCTCACATTAGATTAAATATTTAATCCCATATGTCGAATTGAAAATTCCAAAACACTATACAATGAAATATGTTATTAAGGTGAATGAAAATCTTATATGGAAGACGCGAAAGTGATGGTAAAACTGTTCTTCTGTGACCAAAAGGTCAGTTTCAAATTCGAGAAACTGTTTCTTTGCAATTATAAATAGGTAAGGCTCTCTGCATAGATTACCTCACCCCACCCATGCTACTCGGGGTTTAACGAGGAATAATTTTTGGATCCTCTACATTGACATGAGGTCATACATTGACATGAGGTCATACGAGATCCAAATACAAATCAAAGGTAATGGAGGGTTGCAATTAGATAAAGGGAGTAATTTTTGAATCCTCTACATTGACATGAGGTTCAATTCCCTTCATCTAATCATACTATTTAGCATTCTTTCTTAAATTTAAATGGAAAAGAAATATTGCAGAAAGTTAATGGAAAAGGACTTTACCTGGCGGATAGGGCCAGAGGTATGAGATGCCACATCTTCTTCCAAGGAGCGCTTGTAGCGATTGAGATAAGCACGCCTCACAGCAAAGAGCTCCTCAGGGGAGAGGACACAGGAAATTTCAACAATGACATGGTAGTTTTTACCACTCTTGATGGCAACATTGGCCAAAACAGCATCACGATCTGCAGGTTCCAGATTCCAGCGGTACACAGCTTTCTGTTGAAGTACAATTTCCACAGTTCAAAAACTCATTAGTACATATGAATTTCAAAAGCACATAGAACATTGACAAGATCATTTTTTTTGTGCTTAATCATGATATTAATGGTACCTCAAAGTCTCCTTTGAGCTCAGATTCCATGCGTTTGACAAGATCCTCCTGGTAAATTTCTTCATAAGCTCTTCTGATTTGCTGCCTCTGATGAACATTTCTATGACCCAGTATTACTATGACAGTGTTCTCATCAGTCCCCCATCCTACAAAGTTGAAAATCAAGTGAATCAGCATGATCTAACCCATTCTAAACACCCATTTTAAAGATACATAGGAGTATCAGATTCATCAACCATTCTAACTGATTGCCCTGATGGACCAAAAAAAAAAAAAAGTACTCGACTTTACACTGAAATGAAAGTACTAATCAAGATTGCAAAATTTTCAAAGCTTTTCATCATAGAGGGAATCCATTAGACCAATGAATAAACATGATTCAAAAAACAAATAAGGGGTTGATCACACCTTCGAAAGCCTTTCGGAGAGCTTCAGCATCTTCATGGGGAGAGTGGTTACTGGGAGAAATAAGTGTAGCCATAGTTGAATGTGTATTCTCTAGAGTGCTAACAATGATGATGTTATGAAGAAACGTATCTTCACAGGTCTTCTATTTATAATACTATGTATACAATAGCGTGTGCTTTGTACAGTTATGTTGTAACTCTTCTATTGGGAAGTGCTACAAAGATGAATAATTTAAATCCCCCAATTCATGCCTTGTAATCCGATAAGGCTTATAGCTTTATTTAGACAATAATTTATTACATTAATTTTCTGTCCTTTTCCTATTGTTACAATGCATTCAAATTCTAACCCAATTTTGGCATTACTTTAGTGACAGACCAACATGTAAACAAATGCAAATAGTTTATTTAGATTGGTGAAATTTTATTGCTACCCAACTCAGCACAAATCAAGGCCACTTGGACGGTTAAAATTAGCCATTTAAAGGTCTTAAAGGGCATGATTTGATTCTAAATATAAAGCATGATGATACGGTGTATCTATAATTTTCTGAATTGTAACATCTAGAGTATGATTTGCACAAATAACAATTGCAGATCAAAATCTATCATCATAAGGATGTGTCTATAATGCAAATAACACTAAAAATAAAAAATATAAATCACTTACCATAAAATTTCGACTTGGGATCAAAAGAAATATATAATAATTATAAAAATTATCAGCATACATGGAAGACTTTCAGTAAAAATTATGTTATGTAAAAGTATGGAGTACCAGCCACATGTTAGGTACATTAACAATGTCAGAGTTTGTTCAACTAATCCCTTTATCGAATTTTCTGGAAGCTGTGTACCATATATGTAAAAATTCAAAATAAATAGATAAAATTCAAGCTCTATAAATTAAGTTGCAATAAGGGTTTTTTTAGGCCTAATCCACAAGTGGAATCCGTTAACATTTCTCTACGTCTTACACCTATAAAACTTAGAGACAATTTTACTTTTAACTTATACATTAATAAAAAAGCTGCTAAAAAAATTATATAGTAACAAAAGTGGAATGATGACATAAAGAAATATTATAATAAAATTATTTTCAAGCATGTAGACAAAAAAATAATAATTACAAGTTTGAACTTAATCAGAAAAGGAGGAAATGAATTATTGAATGCTGGGGGTGAAATGCAAGTTACAGCCACAATTCAAACGTTATAAAAATAAAGTAAGAACATAAAATAATTAAAACTATATTAGAAAACTGAAGAAAAATATGAACGATTAATTATACCTTGGAAGGACTTGTGTAGAACCTCAGCATCTTCAACAGGAGAATTTCGTTCTAGAACAACTAGAGTAGCCAATTTTGATCACCAGAGCTCTTTCTTTCTCTTTCTGTTGTGGTTAAAAATGTGATGATGGATTATGGTAAATCAATAGTGGTGACGATTTATAGGTACATTAATCCTTCGGAATTAACGCCTACACACGACTATATCATGTTTGGACTTCGGACGTTACTTTTGATTCTTATATTATTTATTATATACGTTACTGAATTAGCTTCCTTTCGGGTTCGAAATCACTTATTGGTAGGAGGTTTGTTGTGAGATTGATGGGTAAATGAGAGTGAGTATTTAATTACTCTATGTTTGGTAGAAGTTTAAGAAAAAAAAAGCTAGGCAACCATCTTCCCCATTCATTCAGATTGATGCAAAAGTTACTGTTTGAAAAAACCACATTCGAGGTGGTATTTGAAGATAACAAGGCAACTGAAAAAAAATGTGCACAATGGTGAGACAGAAATGCCCCGCTGGGATCGTGTTGATCTCAATATCATTGACAGCTTTATCATGCTTCCTAGTGATTGAAATGTTTTTTAAAAGTAGGGATATTTTTGTAATTACAACTTATTTCCCATCTATATTTCACCTCAAACCAAACATAAACTTTATAAAATTTATCTAATTTTTCTAGTAAATTTTTTTTTCAACCAAACAATTTTTTTTACATTTTCCTACCAAACTCACTTTCCAACAATTTTCCTATCAATTACATTTTTCTAGTATTCAAAAATTTTCTCCTCAACCAAACGCTCACCCGAGATACAAAAACTCACACCGGTTTTAATAGGTGAAGCTTCGTTGATTGAAAAAACAATGTGTGAAAACATGTATACCATGAGGTACTTTTGTCCCTTTCTTCGTGCATGGTGGACAAATGGCAACATGCTCGAGGATTCTCAAAACTTGTATGATGATTTCGTGTATGAATTAAAGTACATAAATTACATGTGAATTGGGGTTTCTTCTAGATTAATAAATAAAATGCTTATGCGAAATTCATAGTGAAAGAAGTAGGGGAGATAGTTTCATTTTCATCCATACTCAAACTCAAACTCAATGAAATAATAATGGAAGAACATTGCAGTGTCCATAAAAATAAGGGGAAAAAATGTTTGTTATAAATAACACACTTTTGTGTCTTTTTAAACGATAGGATGAGTTTTTCAAAAAAAAAAAAACAGATGTTTTTGTATATATTTATTGACCTCTTACATTCTTAGGCTCTGTTTGACTTCGATTACGTAGAACAGTTTTTTAATTTTAAAAATTAAAAAAATTTGTTTGATATAATTTTTTTGTATTTACTGTTTTAAAGACAAAGTCTGTTTTTAGTTTTTAAAACAAAAAATGGAGAATAACAGTTTTTTAGGTTTTAGTTTTTAAACTCTTACCTGTTTTTGTTTTCTTTTCCTATTTTTACTCTTAAAAGTGACAGAACACGGAGAACAACATTTTATCAATGACGTTCCGGTAATTATAATCAAACAGATTTATTTTCTACTCTTTTCTACAAAACAGCTTTTATAAGTTGTTTTATAAAATAGTATTGAAAGTAAAAACACATCCTTAATTTCTCCTCTACAAAATTATGAGAAAAGAAAAAGAGATTACTGTGGAGCATTTAGAAGGGGAAGGTAAAATATCAATAAATTAAATATGCACAAAACATAGTCTTTTTATTTAAAATGACATAAAATTATATCCTTTAAAATGATAAATATTTTTTCTAAAAATTATACACGGAGGGTTACATAATAATTCCTCATTTTTTCTCTTTGCATTTTCCTAAACTGGACAAGGGTAGAGTAATTTTAAGCTATATCAACTATATCAAATATGTTATATCTCAATTTAAAATCTTAAGCAATCATAATATGTGTTATGTAACTTCATCACACTTAAATATATATCCCAACACGTCTTATCTCTTAGGGCCTATTTGGAGCACCTGATAAAGAAGATAGGATATGATAACTTATCATATCCTATTTTCATCTCTTGTTTAGTGGGTCAATAAGATATGATTAGTTTATCCTATTGTCTCCTTTTATCCTATCAAATACATGATTTCTTATCCTATGGGGGAGCTGGGTTAGGATTCAACAGGATAGGATACCAATATTAGATACTCAATATATCCTCACGCTACCCAATATATTTGTATTTATTGCATTATCTTTTGTTTTTTCTTTCTCCTTTCTCCTTCTACATAATCTTATCAGATTGCTAATCATGTGCTCATCAAACACAGGACAGATTATAGACTTATCAGCCTCATATCATATCCTATCCTTATTAGTCCCATATCATATCCTACCCTCTCCACCAAACCACCTTAACGTACATAAATTCGACTTTCATGGCTAGTAATGCCTTGTCGTACATGATGCAGTAATTAACAATACAAGTCCTTGTTAACGTCAGTCGCAAACGCTGAAATCAAGTAACCTGTTTCATTGCTTGCAAAAACAATGTGTGAAAACAAGTATATCATTGGTATGAGGTACTTTTGTCCCTTTCTTCGTGCATGAAGGACAAATGGCAACATGCTCGAGGATTCTCAACACTTGGATAAAGATTTTGTGCATGAAAGTGCATAAATTCCTTGTGAATTGGGCTTTCTTCTAAATTAAGGACTCATTTAGAGGATCAACTATAATGCTATTATATATCTTGCTCTTATATGTTTTGCTTATGAGAAATTTATAGTGAAAGAAGTAAATAGTTTAATTTTCATCCATACTCATTCAGACTCAATGAAATGAAAATAGAAGAACATTACAGTGTCCATAAAAATAAACACGCGCGGAGAGATTTGGAGGGTTACATAATAATTCCTCATTTTCCTAAACAAGATATGGAAAAGTTTACTCAAAACATTTTTCTTTCCTCTTTTTGTTATGTATTTTTCTCCATTAACAAACACATCTTAAATTCGATTTTCATTGCAAGTAATCCCTTATCGTAAATGATTTAGTAATTAACAATATAACTCCTTGTTAACGTCTGTCAGACACTGAAATCAAGCAATCTTTTTCTTTATTCCTTACTATAAAAAATATAAATGTACACAAAAAAGTAATTTTTAACTGAATAAAATATAAGTCCAAAATAAATCAACAATTATTTATTTAAGATATTTGTGCAATAAAATATTTTTATATAAAATAATAGTTAAACCTGAATGTAATGCAAGTTTATTATATTATTAATGGGAAAAATATTTCTATAATTACTGCAGATAAGTTATCATTTACTCTCAAAACGATGTCGTTTTGCGATTGAAATATTAAAAAATTATAATTATAAAGACTATAATAATTCTGAAATAAATTAGAATTATAAAAACACCATGATTTTCACTTCAAAACGACGTCATATTAGACTTACTGCAGATAACTTATCTACAGTAACCGCAGAAAAACGAACCATTATTAATTAGGGGTAGGAAAGTTATTATCAATATTCAATACATCGATACACATCATTATTCTCGGTTTTTAAATTTCTTTTGATAGATCCGATACACTTTATAGTTACGTGTCAAGAAACGAGACAATCTGATCATGATATTTTTTTATGTTTTTGAAACTTATGCAGCATATGCATGTTTAGTATTTTAAGGAAGGAATAAAAGATAAAAGAAAATCTTTACTTTAAAGAAAGATGAAAATAAATTTAAACAATTAAGAAAGATAAGAATGAATCTTATTAACTTAACAAAAGTATACCCAGGCATGTTGAATAATTTGAGAAAGGATATACAAGGAAAAA